TCACCGAGGACCACGTGTGAGTGTCCCGGGGCTGCTGTCACCGAGGACCACGTGTGAGTGTCCCGGGGCTGCTGTCACAGAGGACCACGTGTGAGTGTCCCGGGGCTGCTATCACCGAGGACCACATCAGTATAGAGCTTGTGCCCCCACACTCCTGGAGGCCGGGACCCAAGACCACAGTGTCAGCATGCTTCCCTCCCTCTGAAGCCCCGAGGGAGAAGCTGCCCGCACCTCTCCCGGCTTCTGGTGGCCCCAGCTTTCTGCGACTGGCGCTTTCCTCAGCCGCTGCCTCCCTGTCCACATGGCCTTCTCCTCTGTGTGTCCCTTGGTGTCCCTTCTTGTCACAAGGACACCAGTGGCTGGATTAGGGGCCCTCCTGATATTCCGGATGCTTCTATCCAAAAGCCTCTAGCTAATGACATCTTCAAAGGCCTGTTCTGTCCAAAGAAGGTCATATTCTGTGGACCCAGAGGAACACGGGCTTTGGAGGACACCCCTCAACCCTCTACAAGCCTGAAAGGAAGCAATGGGCTGTCTGTTTCTGTCTTCTTCCCAAGGACCTTTCTGGTGCCAGAACGGTTTCAGCTGATCACTTTGTCTGCCCGGGACTGCCCCCCCCCCACCCCCGCCCCACCCAAGGACCAATCCTTCCCCTTATCCTCTTTCTGGAATGTTCCAGAGCTCTCGGTTCTGTCCGTCTCCTTAGTCTCCCTCCTGGGCACCAGATGGCAGTGTCAGTTGAGAAAGCAGTGAGCATGCAAAGCCTTCCTGTAGCTATTTTCAGAAGAGAAACTGATTGATGACCAGTGCCCTCAGCTCCGGAAACTTTTGTACTTTTTCACGTCAGTTATTAAGTTTCAGGACAGAGAAGAAGGGCATTGTGGCCGTGTTGGTGTGAGGGTGTGGTGTGTTGGAGTTAAATGATTAATGTTTGGCCTCTAAAAGCCCACCTCGGGGTCATGGGGTCCATGCTGACTCCCAGCGCCCCCTGTGGGCCTCTGAGACTGTAACTGTGGACGGATGGGAGTCAAAAGCCCATCTTTCTCCCATGGATCCGCTGATGGTTTCGAACTGCTGACCATGCAGATCACAGCCCAGCATGGCACCATTCCACACCAGGGCTCTTTCAGTGGCCGGAGGGGCGAATATTCTTGGGTAGTAGTATTCTGTATGGGGGTGAGGTGGCTCCTCTTGAAGGTCCAAATGAAACCTCAATGGATAAGGTGATGTGTGCCTTCTCACAAGGTTCTGTTTCTTCTACCAAGCCAACTCACTGATATTTTTGTTTAATATTTTTGTTTTGTTCAACAGAGATCGAAAGGCATTCTCCTTGGTGTTGTGGGCACAGATGTCCCAGTGAAAGAACTTCTTAAGACGATCCCTAAATACAAGGTACAGTATCGCCTTACAGGCTAGGCACATGCCTCCTAGATTCCATAGTCTGTGACCTCCTTTCCTCATGGCTGCCATAGTACATCACCACCGGTGGGCAGGTTGTAACAGCAGAAATGGATACTGGGACAGTTCCCGAGGCCTGACGTTGGAAATGAAGGAGTCATTAAGGTTGGGCCCTGAGAGAAAGTCCAGTGAGGTCTCTTCTGGTTTCGGATGCTGTGGGGAATCCTCGGGGCCCTTGTCTTGTGGTGCCACGGCTCCGGTCGCTGCCATCATCTTTCCAAAATGATGGAAAGAGCAAGCAGTTATGACGCCCCTGTGCTCTCATTCGGGGGGTGGGGTCTACTTTTGGTCTGGTTCTGTGGAACAGGAACTGAGCTGAGCAGCTATAACACGGATTGTGCAAGCTTGATGGGTTTGTGTGGCCCTTCCACAGCAGTCCATAGACGTCGCTGCACACCGACACAGGCAAAATTGCTCTGATGGGCCTCTAAACCACTTCTAACTAACTCCACCACCAGAGCACCCTTTGAAATCCTCCTGCCACCCAACTGACCCATCCCCCAGGCTTCTACAGTGGAAGTGCCACTGACAGGGCAAGAAGGGCAGGGTCCCCACCATGAACAAGCCAGAAATTTGGTGGGACCCTAGAGAGTGAAGATCAAGGGTGGGCCCAGTGGAAGGCTCTGTGGGCCCACAGGATGGCCAGCTGTCCTTTAAAGTCCCAAGATCCAGGTGTCCAGATGTGCTGCAGACTGCTTCCGGAAGGGCCTGCCATCTTAGCTTTTTAGATGGACTGTAGAAGGCAATCCACCCAGGACAGATGGACCCTCAGGACCAGGGGTGAGAGTGGTGATACAGGGAGGGTTGAGGGAAGGTAGGGTGGAAGGGGACCCGATCACAAGGATCTACAACTAACCCCCTCCCTGGGGGATGGGCAACAGAAAAGTGGGTGAAAGGAGACGTCAGACAGTGTAAGATATGACAAAATAATAATAATTTATAAATTATGAAAGGTTTGTGAGGGAGGGGAAAATTGAGCTGATACCAAGGTCTCAAGTAGAAAGCAAGTGTTTTGAGAATGATGAGGGCAACAAATGTACAAATGTGTTTGACACAATGGATGGATGTATGAATTGTGATAAGGGTTGTACGAGCCCCCAATAAAATGATTTTTAAAAAGAAGGCAATCCACTTAGAGAATGTCCCTGAATGACACATAGTCCATCATTTCACACGAGAAGATATGTAAAGCCAAGGACAGGGTGCCCTTGGGTAGGCTCCTTAGCCCCATTAATAGAATATGGAAATGGTAATGCTTCCTGTCGGGTTAATTTCCTCTGCTAGACAGTCTCTCCATGTTTGTAAGATATCACGTCCCTTAATAATGGGTAGGATTTATCATTAATCCTACTACACAGTCCAACAAACGTAGGCATGGGAAGCTGAAGTGTCTTGCCATGCCTTACAAACAGTAGGCCCAGACCTGTGCCGTGAGCATCTGTGGCTCCCAGTGCACTATGAACAGTAGGCACGAACACAATAGTGGACACGGGGACACCGGGAGAGCAGCAGTGGCGATGCAGGGGAGACCTCACCTGTCATGTGCAGGGCCCCGGGCTCCATCTGCAGTAAGCGGGCTTCCTTCGCGGCTGCCGCCACCGCCTGGCTCCATCTGTCTGTGGACTCCTGCTTCCCACTGCTGGGCGTGGAGTGGCCACGTGGCGGCAGCTCGGGCGCCCGGCTCACGGCACTGTGAGCCGCTCAGTGTGGTGCCATGTTCTTCATGCACAGCGCTTCGCGGAACCGGCATCCCGTTCCTGTCGGTGGCCACCGCCCTTGGACCCAGGTTTGGTCGAGGGTACTTGGAATTGCTTGCTCAGTGTCACTCGGCTGGTAAAGGAGAAACCAAACAAGGTGGATAGGAGCTTCGGAACACCACCCAGTAGCGTCTGAAACACGGGAAGCTCTGTTGTGAGCTTTCCGAAGGTCAAGCTGAAGACGGGAAGTGCAAGTGTGACGTAGTTACGTCCCATTTCGCTAGGAAGGGCTTAGGGAAGAAGCGTGCACAAGGACCAGGCCTGGACAGCCTATCCCCCAAATTCCAGCAGAGGACAGCTCCAGGGAGCACAGTGCGGCTCACAGCTTTATCTCCCGCATAACGCCTTGTCACGGTGAGTCAGCTCTTGGGGTTTTCCCTGCCATAGAAGCCGTTCTTTTTCCTCAGCTTCATGGATGCTCCCATGAGTGATCAGACTTCCCGCCATTTCATCCAGGCTTCCAGACACCACGGCTGCTGTGACCATACCGAGCCATTTCGTAACTGGGTTCACTTCCTGAGCCCAAGTCTCCTTACCCAGGCTGTTGGAGCTCTCAGGTTCCTGGTCTCCGGGAGAGCTGCTTCAGGACCACACGAAGGCTGCTTTGGAAGAACTTGGGTCTGCTCTGTTCCCTGTGACTCTGCAGGGCTGCGCCTTAGGACGGACAGGGAGACTGGTTCTATTTGGGGTACGGTTAGGGGTTTCATCAGCACGTTGACATGGGGCTGAGGACAAACGCTAGACCTGGTGGTAGGATGTGCATTTGAATCCAGGAGAGGCCCCTCTCAGGGCCTCTGTTTGCCCCCATCTACATTAGCTCCCCTCTCTCTGCCACCAGCCAGCCCGCCCAACCAGCCTAATTTTCCCAGAACACTTCCTGGAGAGGGAGCCAACCTGATTGCTGCTAATGTTGAGCAGCCTTTTCCAGCACCAAGGGTTGAGCAGGATGGCGTGTGTGGCTGCTGGGTACATGTGAAATATTTGCTCGGTTCAAACACTTACAGTGGACTAGGCGGTATTTGGTAAAATGATAAATGCACAATAGACACAGAAATGTTACCTGACGACCTGCCACGGGCCAGCCATTGTGTGAGGACTACTGGGGTCAATGCTGGGTCCAATGGCCTCTTCCCACAAGCAGTTCATTCTGATGGGGGGGGGGGGCTGCCTTGAGTCTAACCAGGTGGAGGAAGAGAGGACCAACCAACTCTCTACTTTTAGAATTGGCTTGAGATTGGACACACATGGCCCAGGGGAGAGGGAGCATGTGAGAACTTTGATGGCAGATGACCCTGAGGCTGGGCCAACAGGGTGGGTAAGGATGAGTATGGGGAGTTAGACAGGAACGGACCCCTGGGCCCTTGGCAGGGAGGAATAGAGATATGGGAGGGTGGAGATCATTGCTAGGGAGTCCATATTGCTGCCTTGTGCCCCGAGAAGCCATGAGTGGCGGGAGAGCAAGGTGGGCAGGTTCACAGGTGGTACTTGCCCGCAAAAGGCGTCCTTTGTGAGACTCAAGCCGGGGAGTCACATGGCTGGAGCCACTTGCGACTAACGGGTCTGGAGGATGACTTGGCTGGTGTTGATATTTGAGGCAGGAAAGGCAGATAGAACCATGATGTCAAGGGATTGAATCCAAATTGTGGTATTAGGCTGGGGAAGCAGAGCTGAACCCGAGTAATTGTTGGAAGGAGATTCAGCAGGGTGTAGCAATTTCTTTAACCGAGTGGTTGAAGGTGAAAGAAAGGCTTCTCACTTGACCATCAAGGTGGGTCGGGTTGCTACCTACTGAGCGAGGCAAGAGGAAGAAGGGCAGGTCTAAGGGGAGGAACTCCATTTTGGACTGGGGGCTTTTGAGCTGGACGTAGTGTGGAGCTGAGCACACGCTCCATTTTACCAGGGAGGAAGCAGTGTAGAGCCAGCCAGGGCGGGGGAGGGTGGAGGGGGGGGTCGGGTTGGTGCTGATTTTTTTGTTCCTTTTGCTTGTTCTCTTCTTCCTTCTCCATCTCGATGACCCCTTCCTCGTTTTTAACCCAAACTAACCCTAACACAGGGTTTAACCCTAGCATAGTTTTAACCAGTGAACTCTTCTTTCATCGAGGTGATATTTTGAGGGGGTAGGGTCAGGTGGATAGCCATTCAACAGTCAGAAGTCTTGATTGATCATAATGAAACTCACAAATGGTTGATGTATTACCTTTGATCAGGGCTATCAAAGAAAAGAACACAACTTATTCTCGTGTTTTATAAGATGCGCAATGTACACCCTCAGTCTGGCCCTCTTTGGAGTCTGACTCCCCATTGGCAAAACAAGACCGGAGCCTGTGCACAGCGGTCGGATTGGAGCTCTTCTCTCACAGTCCAGCATCCTTTGTTTGGGCGCCTGTTGAGTTTGCATTCAGGATGGAATGTCACCGCTTCCTCTCACGGAGACAGTCAGGGTCCTCTGTGGACCCCTCCAGTCTGTGTGACACCATAGTTCTTGCTGAGTCCGTTGCACCCCGTGCGCGACAGAAGGAAACACTGCCCACTCAGGCCTTCCTCGCTGCTGCTCCCCCGGTGTGAGCGAGCCCATTGCCATAGCGATGGTGTCCACTCATCTCTTGTCCTTTTTCCTGGACCAGGGACTGGTCCTTCCCGTTAACATGCTAAACTGGGGGAAGGTGCTGATGATCTACCTCTGGCGGGGGGGGGGGGACTGGTCAATGCAAACCTTATGGATAATATTAAATTGGGACTTAATAATTGTAATGGATTCAGTGTTGACTGTGGCTGACATTTTTCCAAGACACAAGATGAAAGAGACAATCTACATCTCAAAGGGTAGGAAATCTCTGGCTTATCTTTCACAGCATAATGAAATATACTTTTATCCTGAGAATTGAGGAAAGCCTTATTAAGACTTGCTGTGCTGGGCGGCTCTGGCAGAAGATGTCTGTTGCCCTTCGCTACTGCACGCATATTTTGTTTATGTAATACAAGGGACACTTTTAATTGCCAATGGTCAAGTCTCTGAAGATAATTACTTCACATCCCTTGATGTTAAGCTAGCAAGCAGACAGGATCACTCCTGGTTTATAAACTAGTCTGGATCACTTAATAGCATCGCATCCACGGAAAGTGGCTGGGAATTCTCTTGAACAATAGCAGCCACTGCAACAAGGCCTCAGATGATGGACTAACAACTGTCAGGAAAAAACGGGGGTATGTTTTCCTTCTTCTTCGTTTGCCTCTCTGGCAAAAGTGGGTTACGTTTTCTTCAGAGAGAAATCAGCCTGGGTTTTATGCCAGAGGCGATTTTAATACATGAATGATTTGTAGGTAAATTTATTGTAGCCAATGGGTGCAGTCAACTGTGTAATAGAAATATTGTCAAAAGGCCTGGATTATTATTTAAATAAGTGCAGTGTTAAATTTGATTACATACTTTTTAGAGCTAATAAAACATTTCATTGCTCCCAAACTATTTCCCATAGTCCCATTTAGTCAGAAAACATAAATTAAGTGCGACTCTGCATAGAAAATTACCCAGGCTTTGTGCGGATGGACGCGCGCATGCAAACGCTTGGCAGCCACAGGTTTTAAAACAGGCTATAAAAAGGGCTGGCCAGTTCCCACATAGGCTGGTGGGGACACTTTCTCCTTGAAGAATTATGGAAACGGCAGCCCAGGAGCGCCCAGGTTTTTGGTGGCCCCGGTGGGTGGGTCACTGGGGCAGCCCCCAGAGAGTCAGGCTGAGGCCCCTTCTGCCCCAGAGCAGGTGGAGAGGAGACTTCTCGCACAGGGTAACACAAGCCTGCTCGTTTGGACATGGGTCTCTCCGGATACACGTGCCACTTGTCTCTGTGTGTGTTTTTACAGTAATTGTTTTTGTTTTAAGTAAATCAAAAGGGAGGGCCTTGGATGCCGGCATGAGGATGTGACATTTTAAATGGTGCTATTTGCTGAGCTTGTTCTGTGACAGCTCTTCGTTTCCACCAAATGTCAAGGATCAGTGCCTTGCATCCATTTTAATGAAATATTGTGCTGATAAGGTTATGAATGCCAAGTTTAAGCTGTAAATTACTGAATGTCGGCCTGCTCTCTGCTCGCCAAGTTCATCAGGGAGCCAGCTAATGCAGGTTTCTCTCTGGCTTCCTCCTGCAGTTGGGGATTCACGGCTATGCCTTTGCGATCACAAACAACGGATATATCCTGACGCATCCAGAACTCAGGCCCCTGGTAAGAGAAATGCTTCCTGCTTGCTGTGCATCTCTGTTTCGCGATTGGAAAGATGTCCTTCTGTTCTGCAACGATGCCACTTAGCTGGGGTTTCCATTTCAGGGGCTCAGTTCACAGCACTGTCTAGAAACGTTGAGTGTAATAGTTGATAGGTAGTAAGTACGTTGGCACATGATACATAAATAATGTAGGAGACACATCTTTAATGGTGCGCCTTCATATAGTAACACACCGTGTCTTTGTGCACTTGGTATTTGCTTATTTCACATAGGGCAAAATCTGCCAATCATCCTTCTTAAAATCTCACTGTCGCTTGAAACGCATGAAATTGGATACTTTTATACAGCAAGTGGACTCTCACAGTCCCCCTCCAACCCCGTTTTATACCACAAATGAGACCCTAGGTCCCTGGGGATTAACTTCGATGGGATTGGCCCCAAAACGGCCACTGCTGGAGCACAGCATCTTGTTGGTCGAAGCAGATGGATACCTTGTTGGGGTGGTTGAGGTGCCCAGTAGGGCGGCTCAGTCACCACTTTCTTCAGCTCAGCATCGCCTTCAGGCCCTCTGAGGTGGGCAGAGTCCAGGGCAGCCTGCGATCACTGTCAACCCTGCTTCCCAGCGGGGTGGGGGCTGCCTGGGGCGCTGTCGGTGGAGAGAGGGCTTCCGAGGCTGCCTGGGGCTCCTCTGGCCACGGCCCCTCCCTCATCGACATTGACCAGGATGGATGGAGTCCAGAGCGGTGGCTGTAAGTGTGCCTTCCCTGGACGAATTGGCACGGAGACATCCCTTTGGCTTTCCAAGAGGATCAGAAAGTGTATGACGTAATAGGGTGGGCACTTCTTGTGAATATCAAGAAAGTTTGTGTCATCTTTGCTGGCAATCCACACACATGTGAACTCCATCCAGTACACCCCTCCGTGCATCCGAAAGGGAAAGGCGTGGCCGTGCGCGCCACACAAGTGTTTATGGGCACGGCGTCTTGGGGGGCCAGCTCGTCTCTCACTCGCATCGTTATTTAGAAGCAGTTCAAGTGGGAGCTCCGTCATCAGCCAGCCCTGCTCTAATCGCCCTGGTGTTGCGAAGTCCGGGCTATGTCTTGGGGATCCCGTATGCGTGCTTTCAGAGGGGACTCGCAGTCCAACCTGATTCCAACAGCCTCTTTTGTCAGAAAAGGACTGGGCTCACCAGCTGGCTAATTCCCAAAGTAACTCCATGCTCCAGGATCGGAGACACGATCATACCTGGATCTCCTGCCAGTGATTGTATTAAAGGTGGGGTGTCACCTCTCGTCCTGCGCTGCACAAAGGGAAACGATCTGCTCCCGTGTGTACTCTCCTCGCGGTCCTTCTGGCTTTTCATGCCTCCTGGTCTCACCCCAGATGGTCTGTTTGCGTACTGTCCATCAGAGGCTCTTTCCAGTGCTGTGGGTACCTCGTGCTGCTGAAAGGTCCTTAGGGAAGCAGACTCCTGACAGGTCACCGACTCTCAGAGACAAGTCCTTGTCACTCTTCTCACTGTGGAAATCCTGTGCTGGATGACACGAGAGGTTCCCACCAACGAGGTGGCTGGGGCCAATATCCACGTCTCACTTGCCACGTCTCACACGCCAGACAAACCACTTTGCCACTGCTCCACAACCAGAGCCTGAGAAATGACCAGGCCAAATGGCCTGACTCTGGAGCCAGCAGAGAGGGTTTGGGGCGATGCCAGCCCTCAAAGAACCCAACAAAGCGGCTCGGTGGAGGTGTGCCACTCATCTGCTCTCGGGCAGAGGCAGCGGTGAAACAGAGGAGAACTCAGTATTTGCATCACCACACGGTGCCTTTAACGCCTTGTCCTGGCTCTGGGTGACAGTGGACAGGTCACGCCGTCCCCCGACCGCAGTCTTTATTTCACAGGTTGGTTTGGAGACTGAGCGAAGCGACGTCTGACCGGGCGAGAGAAAGTAGGCCCCAGACATAGGCACTTGTTTGTGTTCTGCCAGTCTCTTGCCCGGGTACAGCTGCCGTGGGGTTGGTTGGGGGGCATGGGGTGCTGTAGGCTTACAGAGAATCGGAAGAGTAGCTTTTGGTACTTCCATTGGCTCAGACTATTTAGTAAAACCTGGCAGGGGGTCCTATACACACATGCACAGCAGATAGATAGTCTCTTGTTATCATAATGTCTGCCCAAAATCTCCACTCAGGTGTTGCTTATCCTGTGTCACCTCAGGTGAGCGTGTGTGTGTGTGTGTGTGTGTGTGTGTGTGTGTGTGTGTGTGTGTACCCGCACGCATGTCTGAGTCTGTCTGCCCCCCCCCTCACACACACACACACACACCTTGGTTTTCTCGTTGACTCTCAGCATCGTGGCCCATTCCTGTCTAGAAGACAGGTAGACAACAATGGTGCTGTGAGGGTCACTGTGAGCCCTGCAAGGTGAGGGGCCACAGGTACTTAGATCACAGCAAAACATTAATGACGATCACAGTGGAAGCCGCCGTCACTGAGCTGTAACTGTTGTTACTTGCACAGGCTGGGCTCGGACGTGCACACGTCACTTGCTCTCTGCACGCAGGAGGGACTCAGTAGAAGGGTTTCATTTTCCCTGACTTTGGACTCTTCCGGGGCACATGACTCACGAGTTTGCCCTCGGAGCCTAGCTCCACCTGACCAATGCCCTTAGGGACAGCTTCTCAGTGAACCGAGGCAGGGACGGTTCATTCAGAGCCAGCTCACCTCCTCTCAAGACCAGCGCTAGCGCTGAATCCGTGTGAGAGATGCCTGCCAGGTTAACGCGGGACGGGCGTGGCCGCAGGGGTGGTGGTCAGTGAGGGGAGATGGAGCAGGCTCTCTATGATAATGCCCCTCCTCTCTCTCTGCTCCTGGTTCTGCAGCAGGAGCAAAGGTGAGTCTCTCTGAAGCACAGTACTAATGTTCTCCAAGTGTGGCTGGGGTGTGTCCAGTGTTTTCCGGACCCCAGTATGATGTGGGTGTGAATCAGGAGCGTGTCCAAGCACAGCTCCTACACCAGCCCTCAGAGCACTGCGGCGCTGTCGGCTCAACTGCCAGAGCAGTGGTCCTCCACCTTCCTCATGCTGTGACCATTTCATACAGTTCCTTACGTTGTGATGACCCCGACCATAAAATCATTCTTGTTGCTCCTTCATCATTGTCATTTTGTACTGTTATGAATCGGGCGACCCCTGTGAAAGAGTCATTTGACCCCAAAAGGGGTCACGACCCACAGGTTGAGAACTGCTGTGCTAAAGGAACACCTCGTTGGTTGACTTTCCTTAGCCTTCTTCCAAGTGTTTCTCAGCCACTCCATCCTTACCGCCAGCCTGGCTTCTTGGTAGGTTAACCAGCGTCGATGCAGCAGGCATCTCTGGTGCCAGATGTGTAGCAGTCCTGTGCAGGGCTGATGTGGCCAGAGGGCTGTGTCTGGTAGGGGTGAGCACCCACTCACCGGATGGAGGATGGAGCCACAGCCCATCAAGAGGGATGGACGTTAGAGGATGAGACTTCTTCAAATCATTAAAACCAGCTGTCATCAAATTAATTGTTACTCATTGTGGCTGCTTTTTAAAAAACTAGAGCCTTTGAGTAATTAAAACAGCAACAAACCCACCACCGTCTCGTCAGCCCTGGCTCACAGCAACCCCAGGGACTGTTTCTGAGACTGCAAATCCCACAGGAGCAGAAAGCCTCCTTTGTCTCCCATGACGTGGCTGGTTGGCTCGAACTGCTGACTTTGCTGACTCCTTGGAGACCCAGACTTGGTTTTCTTCCTCTTTACCACACCTCAGTACTCAGGCTACGGATCCTCATGGCCAAGCAGAGTTTTTGTCTCCATTCAAGTCTTCCTAACCTTTGTGTTCCTGTGCTTCCTGGCTTTTTCCATCATGTTGTGCTCCAGATAAAAAGGTGCTTCAAAGAATTCAGGGGGGATTGGAATGAAAAGATAATGGGATTTTCCAGCAAGCCTTCTGAAGCCTCCTCCTTTTGAAGCTCCACCTCCCTCTGCTGCAGGAGCGAGTGCCCTGTGCTGCCCTCAGTGCCCACCTGCCTGCTGGCCAGGCCTGCGCTTGCTCCTCCCTCCACTTGACCTCCCTCCCTGAACCCCAACCTGGCTGCTTCCTGGGACAGATCCTGCCTACAACCAGAAGGCTAATTAGGAGAGGGTCCAGCCAGGTAGGGGGCAGCGGGGGTGTGAGGGGTGGGAGCACACGGAGGGGGCTTCCCAAAGGAGGCGGACAGGTCACACTCGCACCAGCTGCACCCATAGTCCACTCCCAGTCCTCGGTATCCCCAGACCTCCTGTACAGCTGCTGCCCTCAGGCTGGTCTGCAGCCTGTTGGAGTCCATCTAGTGGGGACTTCGCATCCCTTTTAAAACTTTCCCCCAAAGGCTCCTTCCTTCTTATCAGAAGCCCGGGCACTGGAAGAAGCCACCAGTAGGTGGCGTGCTGGCATTGCCATGCACCCAGACCCTCCAGGGCTAGGGTCCCTGCAGGCTCAGATACTGAGATCAGAGCCCCAGGCAACCAGCTTCATCCTGGTCTGAATCCATTCAGCAGAGTGTAAAAGAATGGCCAGTGTGTCTGCTCGGAGGAGTGTGTTCGCCGAGCAAAAATAAGCAGGTCTGTGCTGCCCCACGCAGAGCCAGCTCCCCTCTCAACAAACACCGGGTGGCAAAGACCACGCATTGGGGACTTTTCCTCCAAGTGCTTGACCAGGGCACTTTGTGAACTGCTGGGTGGGCCCCCGTGTCATGTGGCAGTCCTGAGGGGCATGCTGGTGGCTCGTGACCGTGGGGGTGAAGGAAGTGAGGGGTGGGGGTGGGGTCGGGCTGGGTTTCCCTTACCCTGGAACTCCATTCTCTTTGGCAAACCTCAGACATCCAAACCCACAGCCTCTTGGGTTTAGTATTCGGTGGCTGGGTGTGTGCCTGGGTACTAGGGGAGTCGATGGGTGTGGGAATCCGAGGGTGGACTTAGTAAGATCCTCTGTGTGCAGG